TAAACCACACTAGCGATTATAGATTCAGATTAAGCTAAGCGATAAATAATGAATGTAATGCAAAACAGTAAAATAAATGCAAGAGGGCGTTTTTATGCTTGTTCTTAAAGTTCAGAAGGCTAAAGGCGCTAAGTCAGGACAGTTCGCAGGTTGAATCTGAGAGTGTAGAATGCATGCAATCAGGAATGAATTAAAACCGTCTTGAACATGAATCGCAAAGATATAACTAATCAATTCTCATTGCAGAAGTTATCTATGTCTAAATCACAGAGTTTCAAATCTCTTTGCAAAACCCTAACAACCTAAACATGCAGTAATGATCAGGTTCAATTGTTCACAAAACTCCTAAGCCAAATCTCTTTGTACTAGGGCGTTTTGCTCATCTAATACTAGTTCAGGTGATTAATAATGCTCTCACATCTATCAAAAACCTAGGGTTTCGAAATCCAGATGATGTGTCTAAGAAATCGATATGAATGCAAGCAAAGATGAAGAACCAATGAATTTCCTATAAGTTTTTAGCAATTCTACAAACTCTTCTTCAACCTTTGAAAAGCCCTAACTTAACTAACAAACTACTCAGACATGGTGATTTGAGAAAACATCATGAAAAGAATAGATTGCATAAAAGAAATAAGAAGTAGAAATAAAGGAGTTCAAAATCTGCTCTGAAGGAGTCTGATTTGTCTCTCCAAAAGATCTGCTACAAATCTCTCTCTAAAGCTCTCAAAAAATAATAATATACAAGATATATGCCAAAAGAATGGCTGAAAAACCTAATATACAAGCTAAAACACGATCTGGGGTCTTTTTGCAAATACTGGAACTTTTGGGCCAAAACTGCAATTTCTTCCCAATCTTTTAAAAACAGGCCACGACCTCCTTCCTTGGTGGGTGACGAGCGTCACCAGCTTGGTGACGAGCGTCACCATATGGCATACTTTCTTCTTCGAGCTAGGTACTTCGTGGCTTCAACTCAGAATGCTCCAAAAGGTTCCAAAATCTCCAATTATGCTCCAGACATGCTATAACCTGCAAAGACTCTTCTAGGACTCTAAAAAGACCAAAAAGACTCAATAAAAAGGAATTATATCATGGTTAAAAACCATAAAAACCATGATATATCACTGATGCGAATCAGTGCTGCTGCATGTAATATAGCATGTCCCCAAACAGATATTGGGAGTTTTGATTTCATAAGTAATGGTCTAGCAATCAACTGAAGACGTTTGATTAATGATTCTGCTAAACCATTTTGTGTGTGAACATGTGCTACAGGATGTTCAACACTTATCCCAATGGACATACAATAATCATTAAAACCCTGGGACGTGAATTCACCAGTATTATCAAGACGAATTGTCTTTAAAGGAAAATCTAGAAAATGTGCTCGAAGTCTGATCAACTGAGCAAGTAACCTTGCAAACGCCAAGTTGCGAGATGATAACAAGGATACATGTGACCATCTACTAGATGCGTCAATTAGAACCATAAAATATCTAAAAGTTCTACATGATGGGTGAATCGGCCCACAAATATCTCCTTGTATGTGTTCCAGAAAATTGATTGATTTTGAATTTATCTTAGCTGGTGAAGGCCGTATAATCAACTTACCTTGCGAACAAGCAGCACATGAGAAGTCATTAGAAGGAACGTTCTGGTTCTTCAATGAATGTCCACATGAATTAGAGATAACTCTTCGCATCATTATTGTACCGGGATGGCCTAACCGGTCATGCCAAACATTTATGTCTTCTGTGGACTTTTGATTTACTATAACATTTGCCTCAATCATATTGATTGTGGTATAGTATAGCCCAGTGGAGAATGCAGGTAGTCTTTCCACAATACTTTTAGAGTCTTGGGTATTATTTGTGATTTGAAGGTATTCAACACTTCCTTTGCTCATAGTCTCAATATGGTATCCATTTCGGTGAATATCCTTAAAACTTAGTAAATTTCTTTGAGACTTAGGAGAGTATAATGCATCAATGATTTCGAATTTTGTTCCCATAGGCAATGATATATTTGCTCTTCCAGAGCCTTCAATTATCTTTGCACTACCTGTTACGGTACTTACACTTCCTTCTTTCATTGTCAAAGAAAAGAAATATCTCTTACTTTTGAGAATAATGTGGCTAGTTGCACTGTCTGCCAAGCATAAATCTCCATCATTCATTGTTTTTTCAAATAAATAAACAAAATAAATTACTATTACATTAAATAATTTAATAAATAAGTAAAATAACTTGACTTAATAAATAATTCTGAAAATACATAAATTCATGGAATAGAAAGCAAAAATCCAAATAACTTAAAGCCAAAATCCAAAATCCAAAAGCCATAAAATATAAAATAAGAAACAAAGTTCTTTAAATAATTATTCTGTAATCATATTCTCATCTTCATTGAGGAAATCTGAGATGTCCAAGTAAGTAGTATCACCAAAGGCAAAGTCATCTTTTCCAAGGGTAAAGTCATTTTCTCCATCTTCATACACAAAGTTTGTTTCCACGTTCTTTCCCTTTTGCTTCATTGATTGTTGATAGAGCTCAACAAAATGCTTTGGGGTACGACATGTACGAGACCAATGGTCTCTTCCTCCACAACGGTAACATACATTCACAATTGTTCCTTTCTCTTGTTTGTTACCATCTTTCTTTTCCCACTTCTGATGAGAGTGTGAGTTCTTAAATTGAACCCCACTGCCTCGTCCTCGAATGTGCCCACGACCATAACCACGTCCACGCCCATGACCACGTGTGTAGCCCATTCTTTGACCATTGTTATTGGCCTTATCATAGGATGTCACATCGCTTCAAGGAATGGAGCAGAACCAGGTGGGCGTAATCCGTGATTTTTCAACAATAGCTCATTGTTTTTCTCAGCTACAAGGAGACAAGAAATGAGTTGGGAATACTTCGAGAATCCTTTCTCACGGTATTGTGTCTGCAAGACAAGGTTATTTGCATGAAAAGTAGAGAATGTCTTCTCTAACTTATCAGCATGTGTTACTTTCTCTCCACATAACTCCAACTTGGAAGTAATCTTAAACAGAGCTGAGTTGTACTCACTTACAGACTTGAAGTCCTGTAATCTCAGGTGAGTCCAATCATAACGAGCTTTAGGTAAAATCACAGTTTTCTGATGATCATACCTTTCCTTTAAATCATTCCAAAAAATTTTGGGATCTTTCACAGACAAATACTCATTTTTGAGGCCTTCATGAAGGTTATGTCGAAGGAATATCATAGCCTTTGCTTTGTCTCTACTTGGAGTTTCATTTCCTTCTCTTATGGTCTCAAGGAGATCCTTTAAATCTAGATGAATTTCAGCATCTAGTGCCCATGCCAAGTAATTGTCTCCAGAGACATCAAGAGTTCCAAATTTAAGGCTTGTAAGAGACATAACTCACTTAAATAATAAAGTAGTAATATAAGATAAAGTAGTAATATAAGATTTCATAGAATAAATATCATGTAATATGATTTCTATCATGCAAATTATTCCTATAGTTTATTTATATCATGCAACGTCATTCACGATGATAAATGTATTTAATATTAATTTATTTCTATCATGTAAGTTACCCGTATTAACAATACACCATAGAACTAGCAAGTTTCATGTGTGAATATAGAAATAAGATTATTTAAGAAAACCGAATTTGGATATTCAGATTAAAATAAATAAATCAAGAAAAATTAGACATGTGATAAGAAAATCAAGCAAATAAAATTCTGCAAGTTTCGTAATATATGAGAACAAATAAACATGATTTATTTTAAAAAAAAAATTAGAAGAACAGATCAAAGTAAATCAAAGAAATTCAGACATGTGTGATAACGATTTCATGCAAAAGTAAGGGATATTCAGTTTTATTAACTAGGTGCAGCAATATTATACAATATTCAGTTTAATAATTAGGTGCAGAAATAGTATATATACGATATTTAACTATATGCAAAAATAGTATATACAATATTCAGTTTAATAACTAGGTGCAGAAATAGTATATATACAATCTAGTTTAATATGAGCAATTATCATTATGAGCTTTAATTGATTACTATGTGACGAAGAGAAAAAAAAAACGTTTGCTTTATAAAATAAGTTTTTGGTATGCGATGAATTTAAAAACCTTAAACATGTCACAGTTTCGATAAAGCAAGAAGATAACATAAAAATAAAGGTATGATGTATAAATATAATAATAAATATGTGATTTAAATATTTGCTGAAAAATTTAATATAATATCAATCATAAAATAAATATGTATGTTGAATCTAATTCAACATAATATTGATTGTGTAAAAACAAAGAATAATAAAATAAATATAAATATATAGTTTGAATCCCTACAGGAGATTAACATAATACTGATAAGTAATCCATTTTTATAAACCATGAGTTGATAATAAATATGATTCAAAGTTGGAATATTAAACACTAAAAAAAATAGAATTGAATACAGTTTAGCTCAAATAACTAGGGTTTCGTGTTGATAACGTGTTGTAAACAAAAAAAAAGAATGAAAAGAATTAATATGTATTATTCTAATAAATGAGAGGTCTTTTATATAGGAATACAAGAGAGAGTTTTACTTGGTGATAAAGTAAAATTTAATCTACAAGTAATTTAGAATGTTTTAGAAGATGCGCCTTGCATCCATCTGTTATTTCATAACAAAAACCATTTTGATGGAATTGAGATAAGCCGTCATTTTTTTTTTCAACAGCCTTAATTAAGGATGAAAATGAGAAATCCCCATCATAGGGTATTATGACGGCTTAATTCAATCGATTCTGCTGGTACGCTTCTCATTCTCATCCTTAATCTTCAATCTGAGTTTCTCTTAAATAGTAAAATCTCTTCTTATCAATTTGATTTCTGAGATTCGATTGTTTTCGTCGAGAGAGCTACCTCGAATTTCAAAAAATTATCTCGATTTCTTCTCTTCTTTCCCATGATTTTCGTTAGTCCCTGATCTGAGTCCGAAATGCCCAGGTTCTCCATCAAATCTGATCTCTATTTCTCCGTTTCTTCTTCTTCTTCCGTTTGTGGTCCTTAAATCCAGCCGGGAAAATCTAAGCTTGTTTCGATTTCGGTGTGCGATCGATCGATCTCCTCTTAAGGCTATAATCTCTGATCCTGATCTTGTCGTTCTCGCAAACTCGTTGCAATGGTGGTTTGCAAATGCAGAAAGGTATGTCTATCATTTGATGATCTCTTGAGAAGCCTTCCTTGTTAAATGAGAGTGTTGGGGATTTCTGATTTTGCATCTGAAATTAGATTTGTTTGCATGTGTTTCTTTGTCGTTAAGATTTCCTCTAATCTGGATTTGTAAATTTTTGTTTGTTTTGTTTCGATCTCTCTGTAATCGCGAACTTGCAAATTTCGTTCTTCTTTGCAGAGCTCGTCAAGTGAATGCTAATGTTTTGCAATTTCTCTTGGTCGATGTGCAGGCTACGAAGCTGTATTGCTTTGTGCACAAGGTCCCTGTTTGTGGGGAATGCATTTGCTTCCCGGAGCATCAAACCTGTGTGGTATGTTGATCAAAATCATATGCTTGTCGTTTCCTCGTGGTGAGGAATTAGTCTCTTGTTGTTTGGAATGTGGTAGAGAATTAGCAAAATTATATGGAAGATCTTCTGACTTTCGGAAATATTACCGATTATTTATAGGATTCGAGAGTTCTTCTCTGATTTTGTCAGTGGAGCTGTTAGACACTGATTGATGTTAATTTTGTAGTGGTGCATCATGACATAGGCAGGATAACCATTTGTATATCTATTTTTTTTAGGCATATTTGTTTTCTTTGTCCTGTTATGTGTGCACACGCTCCCATTTTTCTTTTAATCTTTATTCAGCTGTTTTCCTCCATCTCTAGTTGAACAATGTTCAGAATTGTTCGTTTTGCTACTCTGTAGTTGAGAAGAAGTGACAATGCTGAAATAATGTTGTAATTAATAGGTCCGGACGTATTCAGAATGGGTGATAGACGGAGAGTATGACCAGCCAAAGTGTTGTCAGTGCCAAGCAGCATTTGATGAGGGGGCAGGTCTTCAAGTCACTCGGTTGGGTTGCTTGCGTATGTTATCTCACTCTTAACGATAATTGGACTGGAATTTTAACTAAATAAATGAAACCATCTTTACCCTCTATATGTATCAGATGCTATACATACAAGTTGCTTGGTTTCACTTATCAAGAGCTTTCCTCCTCATACTGCACCTGCTGGTTATGTGTGCCCATCATGTAGCACCCCTGTAAGCCCTGTTAACTCTTATTACTGTAGTAGAAAAAGTTCTTTTGTATTCTTCCTGCTTCTTTAGCATTGTTTTCCTTGCGTTTTTGTATATCGTGGGAGCTCTTGTTTGTTATCTCATTATGATATGGAATTAGATGAATATATGATTTGGAGCGCTTTCATGAGCATCTCTATAGCAATAATGAGCACTGGATTAGTATGGTTATTGCTTTCTCGCCATATAAACGATTTAAAGATTATCTGCATGAGGAGGACCCATGTGTACCTTTTTAGGAGTCTTTGTATGTCTTGTTTTGGACCTAACGTTTAAAGTTACATGCTGTATTCTTTCATTGTCCGGGTGGTAGTAGTACAGGATTGTTAACTTAACTTCTTAGGCCAATAGCATTGTAGCAACCCTTGTTTGTAACCTAGCTTAGCAGATGAAAGCCAAACAATTATAATTACTCCTTGTAGTACAGAAACATCATGGAGAAGTAATTATGATTGATTATTCATGCTCTCTTGAGTCATTTCAGTTGAATTTTGGATTTTAGCTGCTTCCGATGTTCTTGTGCGTCTCTGCTGTAAAATTCTGGAGCTACATATCTAGATTATTTGATTCTCCAGCACTTGAGCTAATATCCATCCTGATTGTTTGCCATTCCTTTCCTTCTGTATTTACTTTGAAATTTTTTTCCTATAGTCTCATTTATCTTGTATCGTGCTTCGAAATGTTGTTTCATTCTTGGGAGAGTGCCATTCTATAGTTCTCATATGGTCTTTAAATGCAGATATGGCCTCCCAAGATGGTAAAAGATGCAGGATCTCAGCTCCATGCCCAGTTAAGGGAAGTGATTCTGCAGGTTAGTTTTATCATTTAGCTCGAATGTTTTGCATGTTTTCCAACTTTTTCTTCTTGAAAGAAGTTAAATTCTCGGAAAGTATTACCTTTTCAAGTGTTTCCCTCACTTTAGACATCTCACAATGAGAGCATATAATATTACCATTGATGTGGCAATATCTTGACTAGTGAACACTATAAGACGACCTGAAAGGAGTACTGGTTTAGTTGGATTTTAATATTCTGTTCTCTATATGTCAGACTGGTCTTGTGAATAATTTATTTGGGAACCATCCAGTTTCTCGATCCACCGAATCTCGCAGTCCACCCCCTGCATTTGCTTCAGATGCCTTAATTAATGTATCATCATCTTCTCATACACAAGAAGGGAAGATCCTTCCTGATGGTTATTCAGTAGCTGGAAATGGAGAATATTCCAAACCTGCTGTCTCGGAGATAGTTGAGATAGATGTTCCTGCATCCGCTGGGAACTACATGAAAAGCTCAAGCCCGGGAGTAAGAGTTTCTTCTCAAAACTTGGTTTCCTTTCACGAAAACTAGCTGCAGATTCTTTTTGCTTTTGTCACAGTCTCTCTGTCTATCAATTAATGTTGCATTTAGCTTGCTGCTGCTGCTGCACGGAAAGGTGTACCCGCCGTAGACAGGCAGAACTCGGAGACTCTATATTATGCGGATGATGAAGACGGGAATCGTAAAAAGTACTCAAGAAGAGGTGAGTAAAAAATCTATCTTTCTTACCTCTAGTTTGAAATAATGTATGCGTCTTCTGATATGCATAAGTCTCTGCCTTCAGATGGATAAACTTCACTTTTTGTTTCAATGAATATAGCATCGTGGCGATGACTGAGACTGATTCTTTTTCTTGTTTCATGTAAGGTCCGCTTCGTCACAAGTTTCTGCGGGCTTTACTACCTTTCTGGTCAAGTGCATTACCAACACTTCCCGTGACTGCACCACCTCGTAAAGATGCGACAAAGGGAGAAGATGGTTCAGAAGGACGTGTAAGACATCGATCATCAAGAATGGATATAAGGAAATTACTCCTTTTTATAGCAATCATGTAAGACCTGTAATTCTTTTTTCAGCTGCTTTTCTTATCTCCACTGTTAAATGCAGAACCGGTTAGTATATTATCAATCTGTTTAACTGGTGTGTGCAGAGCGTGTATGGCAACAATGGGGATTTTATACTACAGACTTGCACAACGTGTAATTGGTCAAGAAATACCTGATGAGGAGCAGCAACGATGAGACAGTGGAGATAAGACTGGATCATCATATATGTTCATGGTTTATCAAAATCAATGTGGCCTGCTTTAGATCCTTTTGGGGACTACTAGAAAATGTTTCTATCGAGAATTGTGGTTCCTTGTTTTGTGGCGGGTTAAAGTATATTTGATTTTGTCATCTCTTTTCTGTTTCATTTGACATGATGTTTTAGTATGTAGCTATCGTTTTGGTATAGACGAAAATGCATTTTTATGGACGCTTAGGTGTTTCTTTTTTGTTCTTCGATCAACATTTCGCGTGCTCTAGATTAGTGGTCTTTCTCGTGGAATTGTCATCGTTGTGGCCTACAAATACGTGTTTGTTTACCGAGAAGTGTTATATCATATAGTTGTAGAATTTCAAATGCTAATCTAAAACTTTACACGACAAAACCACGAAATTGTTTCAGGATACTCCATAGAATATAAAACATTAGTAACCTCAACATTAGCTTCAACATCCTGAAACAAATTCTCAAAAGAGATAACGTAGCCATAAAGATTGAAAAAGATACTCTAGAATCTGTAAGAAGAATTTATCAGAATTTTTTTTTTGTAAATCTATATATAATAGCAAAATCATTTTGTGAATCGCTGATATCGGCATTTTTATAGCAAAAAAAAAAAAAAAATCTAACAATTGTATTTGTTCTGATTAATTCTGATTTGAAAATCTAATAGAAAAGATAGATTTGTTGATATTACTATTTTTTATAGAAAAAACAAATTTAAATCTAACGATTAATATTACATTTGTTTTAAGATTGAACTAGGTTTTAATCCGCATGTCCGTGTAGGCAATGGATTCAGGTTGATATTTATTTGAGCTCAATATGAATCAACACAACAATAACACTAAAGTCTCTCCATGGCTTGACAACTCAGCTTTTTGAAGCTTTATAAACATGACACCAGCAAAAATAATCACTAATCAAAACATTTTATTAATACATCTCATCTACTTATTTTATTTTTTAAATTTAAACCCATTAAAAAAACCTAAATATTTTTTCTATTAATTTTTGTTTTATTTTTTATCAAACCCAAGCCCAAATAATTAATAACAACAAAAAAAAAATTATTATTTTATTTTTTACCAAATTCAAACCCAAATAATAAATAACAAAAAAAAAAAAAAAATTAAATCATTGTTTTTTTTTTTGCCAAAACCAAATCTAAATAATAAATAACAACAAATAAATAATAAAAAATGCTAGCTATTTGTTTGTTTGACATAGACATATATGATTGAAAAAGTGTAGGCTCAGCATCAACTATTCTTCCATGACAACAACGCAAAAAGCCTTATGTTATAAGAAGCGCACACATCAGCAAAAATTTGAACGGAACAATTTTTTAGTTTTCATGGAAAACATAATTTTACAGGTGATAATGCAATTTTTGGTTTTCGCGGGAAAATATAGTTTATTTATTTTTGTAGGAAAGCGTGATTCTGAGCTTGACGAGAAAATGATTATTTTTTTGGCAGGAATAGACGATTTTCTCAGTTTTCGCAGGAAATATAAATTTTTCGATTATGGCGGGAAAATACAATTTTTTTGTTTTTGCAGGAATATGAAATTTGTTGGTTTTTATGAAAAAACGTAATTTCTCGGCTTTGGTGAAAAAACACAGGTTCTAGCGGAAAAAAGAAATTTTAGGTTTGACGAGAAAATGAATTTTTTTTTTGTTTTGGCGGGAACAGGCGATTTCTCAGTTTAATGGGAAAATGAAGTTTTTTGTTCTGACGGAAAATGCGATTTCTTGATTTTTGTAATAAGATGAAATTACTCTGTGTTAAATTTTTAAGTTAAATTATATTTACAGTAACCAAAATTTAATTATTTAACTTAAACTAAAATGATATTTTAAGAGTTCAAACATAATTTTCTATTTAGTTCTAAAGCAATAACAGTGGTTTTGATATGAATGTTATTGATTATAGTTTGATAGTTTTAGAAACATATGTTTATAATAAAAAAATTAATAAATAAATAAATTTTATAATTCAAAATAATCATATTAATTAATAAATCTTTTTTAAATGACATTTTACTTTATATAATTACAAAGAAGGATCAAATGGCAATTTATTGGAGAAAATAGATTACATTTGCCAATGGCATGAAGATACTAAAAATGTATTGCTTTATTCTTATATATTTTATTCTATATTTATATTTATATTTATAATTAGTTAACTAATTAAATTTAATAGTAAATTGTAATTTTGAAAAAAAAAATATGTAATGTTTATTTAGATTTAAAATATATAAGTACATAACTTAAGCTAATAAAAAAATAAATATAATACTCATTTACATTATAAAAATAATTTTATTATATTAAAAATATATATAAAATTTAGAAAAAATTTCTGCAGCATAGCGCGGATAAATACCTAGTAATAATAATTAGATATATAAATATTTAGATGCCCAACGTTTTCAGAGGCCCAAAGTTGTCCAGAGTAATCAGAGAGTTGTCGAGGTTTAAATTGTGCGTTTGTCAATAAATTCGAACCAATAATATTTGTCTCGATATGACTTCGCTAAAAAAAATACATTAAGGAAAAGTAAAACTTTTATCTCGAATACAATTTCTACAATTTCTCCGTCGCAGAAATGGCTGGAGAATGCCTCAATAATTGCATGATGATCTTTACGTTTGACAGAGGATATGAGTCCCAAAATTATTAAGTGAACGAGCAAGGAGGATCCAAGACAGAAGAAATAGAGTACATTTTCTAAACTCAGTACACCGTAAACTTTAAGATATGTTGTTTGAATTCTTTGTCTTGACCAAAATTGTTCAGAAGTTATGAGTTGAGGACAAACAAACTTTTTTCGAAACGGTTGATATTGTATCCCTTGCTGTTGTATGTACAGCTCACTTTTTTGGATAGTTTATATTCTTACTTATATAACCAATTAGGATGAGTATTATTTTTTTTGTAGAAAATAAATATATATTAATGGTATAATATTTTTTGATAGATTTCTACTTTTTGTTGAACAAGATATATATGGACATACAAATGGAATATATCTTTTATTTTTGCTACTAATGTATGTTAAAGATGAGATTTGTATTCTCTCTGAAAGCTCGATATCGATTGAGATCGATCTATTTCGAGAACCCTAAAGAATATTTAGGTCAGTTAGATAAATGAAAATCTTCCATTTATCGGATCAATTCCAGAAAAAACGGAAAGTCGGCCTTATTAGCAAGTAAGTTTTCCTATTTTGGATAAGAGAAGTTATTTCTAAAAGACCTACCTGATCGGGTATAGATATAGAAGCCATTGACTTCTAAAAGTATTTAGAATCTTCTCTCGAGACTTATGGCAAACAAGCAATCTATTGTTCTTAGTTTTCGATTCAGTTTCCATAAACAGCTTAGGTCGGCGTTCTTATTCTAACGACATAAACATCCATGTATCATCCGAGCTCTGGCTTTATCTTCAATAAAGTTCTCTTTTTAAACCCACTGACTCTTGTTCTTTCTATATATCAGATTTAAGTTATTATAGTTGGCGCCGTCTGTGGAGAATAAGAGAATCAATCTTTAAAGAAGTGAAGCTCGAAGATGGTTGAAACACTCACCAATCCTACTGCCATCGGTCTCGCTGAGAAAACACCGGTCTCCCTAGAGACAACATCCCAGATCGGCCCATCGACCCGATCACCGGATTACCTCTGGGCTACCAGACTGGCGTACAGACAGAAGATCCAACTACTGCACGAAACACCATTAGGGTGAATCAGGTCGGCCAAACCGCTGGAGTGAATCAGGTCGACCAGACCACCAGGGCAACTCAGATCGACCTGCCGCAACCACCTCCTATCGACATGGCTGGTCTCATCAAATCGGTCGCGAACCAGCTACTGCAGGGAATGGATGTCCGATTTGAATCGCTCAGAGTCGAACATATTGCTTACCATGAGGACCTAGATCGGCTTCTAAACATCCGGGCTCAAGCTCAGGAGCAGACCGACCTCACCACCCCTCGACACCAGCCGGTCCGCCAGCAGAGAAACCCGGAGACCTCGAGATTAGTCAATAACCTGTTCGGTAATACACCGACAGAAGAACTGCAGAGGGCATAACTGGAGGTCTCTAACGCCTGTTCCTCAAGGGACACCACTGGAACCACCCCGGCGACGACTTCCAAACTCGATATTATCCATCAGCGGCACGACATATGAGCACCAAGGTTCATAAGACAACATCTTGTGCCCCTGAGCTGTATAAGATACTTCAACAGACGCAGCAGACTCTGTTCACATCGGTAATCACCAACGCTCCTCTAAAGGATATCGGGAAGATAAAGCTACCTCCCAGCTATACTGGAACAACCGACCTAAAACAGTATATGACCGCGTTCAGGGCGGTTATGGGCAGAGCTCGATTCACAGATGAAGAGTAGGATGCATGTCTCTATTAATATTTTGTCAAATCCCTCTCTGGAAGTGCCATCACTTGGTTTTCACAGCTTCCTCCGAACTCCATCAGCACTTTTTAGGAACTTACGGGCCATTTTCTCAAGCATTACTCGATCTATATAGACACAGAATCCACAGCGCTCGACCTGTGGGCCTGTGTTCAAGGCGAAACGGAGCCACTACTAGATTACATCAATCGCTTCTGATCCATAGTTTCCCGATGCAGCCTGTCGGACGAGCTCTATCTTAATATTTTAATCAAGAATTTGAGCAACGACCAGTCATACTGCGAGAGATTGAAGAGTGGAAAAACCAAAACCCTAGAGGAAGCTTTACACAAAGCAACCGGCTATATCAGGCTCGAGGTAAATAGAGCGGCCAAGGCCAAATTGGCCGACGACAAAACAACCCGAGACAAAAAATCTTAATCAACAAACCAGGATGGCTATCAAGAGCCTCCACAGCACTACGACAGGGATGACAGGAGCTGCAAGAATGTCAACACTTTCGCTCGGCAATCAAGCTGGAACACTTGGGATCGCCAGAACGCCAAGGACTCTGAGAGCAAGAAACCGTACTGCATTTACCATGAAGTGCACGGCCATAATACAGATGATTGTCGCACTCTTACAGCCCACTTAAGGAAAAAGTGGGAAGACGGCGAGTGCAGCGTGCCGGACCAATGAAAACTGGCAAGATAATCTGATAACAATCAGGACAGACGACCTGACAACAACCAAGATAGACGTCATGATTCAACTGATCACCCATCCACAAAGCGCGAAGGGAAGGAAGTGAAACGAGATCGGGAGAACGATCATACACCTCCAACCTCACCTCGACGGCGGATCAATACATGGGCGGACTCCTCTCCTGCACTGATTCCA